TTTTGTTCATGTTATACACACAGTTGTCCCACACGGTGCCAGGCCTGGTTTTTAATGGAACAAATGACTGAATGAATAGATTATAGGTTAAATAACCTCTTGTGGACTACTAGAAAAATGTATTTCAAGTTTGAAACAACTGACTTACAAGAGATCTTTTGGAATTCATTTGTAAATTAGGGGCAATCTAGGGCTCTTCAGCATCGACATTAAACTACAAGTACAATTTTAGTCAATTCTCTTAAAGCTTCAGAAATTATGCAGTCGAAAACATAAGAGGGTGAAAATCATAATGCAATTATCACAAGAAACCATCAAAAGCCCTTAACCACACTGGTTAAAAGGAGTGGAACAGATTAACTTCTTGATATCATAATGAAAATGCAAACACTATGACTAACACATCCCATATCAAAATAGAACATTTTCATTGCATGGCAGAAAAGAAAAGATGTCTGTGTTTTAAGCAATCAAAGAACAAAATTGAAAATGCAAGCAACTGGAAAATGGCAGTCCATAGAAATTCTCTGTTAAAATACAGTAAGTGTATGACTATAAATTTTCCATGTAATTTAAAATAGTCTCCTTAGTGGTTTAAAAAAATTATCTAGATTCAAAAAGAAAGCAATATCGGTTTGACAGCCATTGTCGGGGACCTGTTTGGGGGAGGTGCAGGCTTAGATATGACCCTGTTGCAACAGGCTCCGGACAAAGGGCTGGTAGGGATGGCCTTTTGGGTCTAAAGCTTGAGTCACAGCTGATTGGACAACTAAGCTGAACCAGTGAGAACCTTGATCCCAGGAATGTGAGTCGGTCCATACTGCTGTAAGCATTAGTGGGCTCCAGAATTTGAAGGTCACCTAGAGCTGAGGATGATGTTGGCACCATGACTAACCCAAGTTTCACAAAGGCCAAAACGATGAGGAAACAGCAAAGGCTGAGGGGCCACTTGAAAGAAAGCAAAAGGGAAAGTATGCACAAAGAAGGGGAGAGGCCAGAGAGGAGAGGATGGCTGGAGGGCAGGGCAGGGCAGGGAGTTCTGTTTCTGAATTTTCAGTTCCCATGACCTTGGACTGACTTTGTTTCTTGCTTTAAAGATCTTTGAAGAAATTAGCTGGCCATTTCTTCACCGCGTACCTTTTGTCAGACACTGACTGTTCTTTGCAATACAGATGCAATAGTAAATAAAAGGAAAAAAGTCGAGAATGTATTGAAGTCAAGAGGGATAATCACAACGAATATGTAAGCAAATAATTACAATGAAGTGCCGTGAATGCAGCGGTAGAGATCAGTGCAGTGTGTGAAGGAAGAGCATCTTATCTTTATGGTGAAATTCACTCCACATTTTATCTGAAATAGTTTAAGTGGATTTTGTATGTTTCAATCAAAAGAACCTCTTCTTAAACACTTGATTTGAATATATATATAATTTTTTTCTTTTTTGGTAGTGGGGCTTGAACTCAGGACCCTGTGCTTTTGAGGCAGGCGGTGGAACCACTGAGCTAAATCCCCAGCCCTATATATGTATTTTTTGAGACAGGGTCTTGCCAGGTCAGCCTGGCCTTGAGCTCACTGTGATCCTCCTACCTCAGCCTCCCCAGTGCTGGCATCACAGGCCTGCACCACCACACCCAGCGAATATATACATTTAAATATGCACATGTTACTTCTCCTTGCCTCTTCCCTGGAGTGGTTTAAAAAACAAATAGTTTCCCTAGGTTAGAATTTAGCTTCTGCCATTCATTAACACATGACTTGGCCCAGATTACAAAACCTCTGGGTGGATCCATTTTTTCTTTATTCTCTTGGGATTGCTGTGAGGACTCCATGGGTAATTTATATGCACAGCTTCGGATATCTATCTGACATTTGATAAGTTCTCAACAATGGTTAGTTGCCATTTTGATTATTGTTGTGGTGGTGGTTGTTATGGTAATCTGTGTCTGTTGCAATTTGAAAAAAAAAATGTGGGCTGGAAAAGTTTGGGTAGTGTTCTTGTATGGGATTGCCATGTTCAAGTTCTGGTCCTTGGCTTTGTTCAACTAAATTTTGTTAGTGTACATAGAAACGAACTCACATAAGCCACACTGGCATACATATGCCAGTTATTTATCAAAATCAATTTTATCGTCAAATAGAATTTCTGGTGAAGGTACAGGCTCTACTGACTCAACTCTGCTGCTATCACAGACCTCTCCATTAGCATATTTTCTTTACAAGGACAGTAAAATATTATCTTTCCTTAGTAGTAACCTTATTCCTGGCCCGCTCCCTGAGGGTACTCACAGACTACCTTGATTGGATTTCGGGTGTGCCAAACCCTTATTTTAGCCGGAGATTTCTTAGACCTGCCACTCTCACTGATGGATGATTTCATCCATTGTCTTTTGAACCTTTTCTAATTTTATTTCTCACAGGGAAACCTTGACTTCAGCTTTAGGGGTGCAGTTATCCCTAATATGAAAAATCATGTCAACCATTTTAAAAATAACTCTGTTCAATTTAAAATTACTCTGTGCTTTCAGCCATGATAAAATGAACTAATATTCCTTGAGTCTAAAATCATCTTCTTGGAATCCTTGCTATTTAGATAACTCCAGAGGGGCAAACGCTTAAAGCATTGACTCAGCCACGTGAGAGAGAGTGCTCGGCACTTAAGTACGCTTTAATAGCTATCACTCTACAGAACAGATGTTTGTCTGTTTCGTGGGCATCATAAATATTAAGAACGATGCTATATGGTTTGGAAAGCATTTCCCATTAATTGTTAATGCTCACGGTGTGGGTAAGAGAGGGAAGTTCCTTGGGGGAAAATCAAGATACATTTTTATGCCTGTATTTATTTATGTTACTGTATTTCAATTTCAGGGCTGAAGCTGGAGAGAATTAGTCTCTGATTTCTGGAATCTCATCTGAAACTTCTAATTAATGTAATGCCTGAGTGTCCCTTGTTCCTTATCGCTCCATGTTGAGATATGTACTGTGTAACTGTAGTCAGACGTTGGAAGAAGAAAGCCAGAGGTGAATTCAAAAACAAGTTCACCTCTTCCTGGAGGAGGGACGTGGACTTAGTCTTTCTGAATTTAGTTATTTAACCTATAAAATGAAGGCTAGTGGCACCTGGCTCATAGGGTGGCTATGATAACTCAATAAGAAATATATAGAGAGAGATTTAAGGTCAGTGCCTGGAGGGCAGTCTTCAAGTTAGAAATGGTGTTTGGTGTGGGCTATGACTCAAAAAATGGCCAGTTTGTTCTTAAATTCTTTGAATTTTTGGCAAGATGGCTCAGGTTTCTTTTTATTTATTTATTTATTTTCAGAACCAGGGATCAAACTCAAGACCTTGAGATTGCCAGGCAGGCGTGGTGCCACTGAGCTACATCCCTGGCCCTGGCTGAGGTTTCTGACGCTCACCTTGAAGGCTCTGCCCACCGAGACTTCAGATGCTTTGCTGGTGTCCCACATGCAGGCCTGGGGCCCTCTGATTTCTCCCTGATGCCCACTGAGGGTGCACCGGGCAGCACGAAGTGTGGGCTCTGAAGCAGCAGTGGAACAAGCTCATGGTCTAGTGGGGAGCACAGACGTGGGGACAACTGCAACGTCATGGTCAGTATTATAAAGGTTGGGAACACTCAGTTCTGGGAAGGTGAGATGTGTTAAGAAATAAGCCAGGTGTGGTGGCACCTGCTTGTCATCCCAGCACTCAGAAGGCTGAGGAAGGAGGATCACCGAAAATTCAAGACCAGCCTGGGCTACATAGTGAGTTCAAGACCACCCTGAACTACATAGTGAGACCCTGTCCTACCCTGCCCCCCCCCAAAAAAAGAAAGAGGAAACCTAGCACCTGTCCCAGGATACATATGGGATGCCACAAAAACCAGAAATTGCTACTTAACTCAGCTTTCTGAACAAAACTTATCTTCCCAGTGAAATGTAAGGGGGTTCTGCTTGCATCCAAGAAGACAATTCTTTCAGATGGAAATTACCCCCCAAAACAAAACCTGTTCTCTCCAGCTGACCTATGTCTGTTGATTAGTTGCCATGAGCAGCTGCGGATGAAGTCAACTGAAATTCTGAAATCAAATCATGCATAGCACCAAGCTGTTTTTTCTGGAATGAATTTTAAACTGTTGCACAAAGTCTAAATTTTAAATCCTTTGGTATATCTTCCAAATAGTCTGATTCAGTAAATTGCAAAAGAAAATAGAAATGAGAACAAGAATTACAGAAAAAATGAGGTTTCTTTTTAAAAGAACCTTGACACTACCTCAGCCAGGGAGATTGGTTGAACCCTTCTTTTTAAATCTAGTCATAAAAATACTTTCTCCCTAATCCCACCTAAAAATGTTGAACAAATATTCATATATTCTAAGTGTTTAGTTTTAAGGAGGCATCCATGCAATCATTACCCTGCTTGTATGGCTTTCTTTTCTTTTCTTTTTTCTTTTTTTTTATACTAACTTTTCATTGTTTCTTCTCATAACTACTCTCAATTCTGGCACCTAGATTCACTTTATAAATTTTTTTTGTATATCCTTTTATTGGTACATTTTAGGTGTACAATATAATGACATTCATCATTGGGGATATGCACCTTTACATACTCTCTTGGTTCATATTTTTCCCCCTTCCCCTGCCCTCCCTTCAACCCCTCCATCCCTCCCTATTTACAAAGACTTTGTTTCCTTTTTT